CCCATAACCATTTTTCTTGCCCTCCACTGGATTTTCTCATATTTGTCCACATCCTTTCTATACCGGGGGGCCCAAAACTGGATACAGGACTCCAGATGTGGCCTCACCAGTGCTGAATAGAGGAGAATAATCACTTCCCTGCACCTATAGCAACACACTTATCAATGCACCCCAGTATGCCATTAGCCTTCTTGACAGCAAGAGCACTCTGCTGGCTCATATTCAGCTTATTGTCCACTGTAAGCCCCAGGTCCTTTTCTGCAGAGCTGCTGCCCAGCCAGTCAGCCCCAGCCTGTACTGGTACATGGAACTGCTCTGTCCTAAGTGAAGGACTTTGCACTTGTCCTTGTTGAACCTCATGAGATTCCTTTTGGCCCAATCCTCCAATTTGTCTAGGTCACTCTGCAACCTAGCCGTACACTCCAGTGTATCTACTAATCCCCCCCAGCTTAGTGTCATCTGCAAACTTGCTGAAGGTGCTCTCTATGCCATCTTCCAGGTCACTTATGAATATATTGAACAAAATTGGTCTAGGACTGACCCCTGGGCCACTCCACTTGATACCAGCTGACAGCTAGACATCAATTCATTGATTACTACCCTCTGAGCCCAATGCTCCAGCCAGTTTTCTATTCACGTGACAATCCATTCATCCATCCTATACTTCCTTAGCTTGCCTGTGAAAATCTTGTGGGAGACCATATAAAAAACCTTGCTGATATCAAGGTACATCACATCCACTGGTCTCCTCACATCCACAGAGCCAGTCACCTCATCATAACATAGAAGGCAATCCAGCTGGTCATGCATGACTTGCCCTTGGTGAATCCATGCTGACTGTTCCTAATCACCTTCTTCTCCTCTAAGTCCTTTGAGATGGATTCTTTGAGGATCTGCTCTATGATTTTTCCAGGGACTGAGATGAGGCAGACTGGTCTACAGTTCCCTGGATCCTCCTTTTTCCCTTTGTTAAATACTGGCACTATGTTTGTTCTTTTCCAATCATCCATGACCTGTCCTGATCACCATGAGTTTTCAAAGATGATGGCCAATGGCTTTGCAATCACATCAGCCACCTCCCTCAGTACCCTCTGGTGCATCCTGTCTGGCCCCCTGGACTTATATGTCCAGCTTTCCTAAATAGTCCCTAACCTGTTCTTTTGCTACTGAGGGCTGCTCACCTCCTCCCCAAACTGTGCTGCCTGGTGCAGGAGTCTGGAAGGTGATTATTCTTGTGAAGACTGAGGTGAAATAGGCACTGAGTACATCAGTCTTTTCCCCATCATCTGTCACAAGGTTGCCTCCCCTATACAGTAAGGGACCCACACTTTCTCTGAACCTCCTCTTGCTACCGACATACTTGTAGAAACCCTTCTTGTTACCCTTCACATTCCTTGCTGGCTGCAACTCCAATTGCGCTTTGCCTTCCTGACTTCAACCCTGTGTGCCCAAGCAATGCTCTTATATTTTTCCCTAGTTATCTCTCCAAGTTTCTGCTTCTTGTAATCTTCCTTTTTGTGATTTAGTTTACTGAAGAGTTCCCTGTTAAGCCAAGCTGGTCTTCTACCATACTTGATAGTCTTCCTGCGCATCAGGATTGTTTGTTCCTACACACTCACTAAGGCTTCTTTATAGTACAGTCAGCTCTCCTGGACTCCTCTGGACTCCCAGATGTTACACTTTAGATGTGCTTATCCAGTTAATTGTGTCTTACAGTGTAACCTGGCCACACATTCAGTCAATTAAAAGCAAAACCAAACAATTTTTGTGTAATAATTCGGTATCCGGTTTCCATCACACCTTAAAATGAAAGTGTGGCTGGATGGACTGAACCTTTGCTTGAATGGGCCCTGGTGTGGTCCCTGCTGTTTCCTGATCAGCTAATTGGTGACAGCAACAGAACCACACTAGGGCTCAAATGGGCTTACTGGCCGATCCAAGGACCACAAGAAGGCAAGATGATGACAAGTGTAATTGGGGTTGTACCCCAATGCCAAAACCATGCATCTTGCCAAATATGTGTAGCATGACAGCAGACATTATTGTGGGGACTGTGGATCAGATTCCATTACACCTTTAACTGAATACCTCTCAGAGGCCTAATAACACAAAGCTAGTATTTGTGGGCATGCTGGCAGGCTTCCCTGTTTTCTGTTGCAGAAAACCCCAAACTGAACAATCATTCTGTCTTTACAAAATTAAGAGTAAAAGGAACCTACAACATTAAGTTATTAAAAAAACATGTAAAACAGAGTTTCAGATAGTTATGTTTAGTATAAACATATAGGCTAAGTACAGGCAGTCAAAAAGCTCGAGGCAGAATCAATCAAACCTTGCAGGGTTTCGCTAAGCTGCAAAGATTGGATTGTGAGCAAATGTAACACAAGTTTGCCCTTGTTGGAGGCAAAGTAGGCAAATGCCTGCACTGACCAGGCCATAAGGCAGAGAAGCGCTTCTGCACAGCTCCCAGCTTGGCAGCACAGTCTAGTGGCACATGGCCATCCCTGATTGGCTGTCAAGTACACGGCCCAAACCCCCTGTTTTCACATCAGACCCTCCCCTGCCCAGAGCCCTAGGCTGAGGTCTGCACAGGACAGGGGTGCCTTGTAGTAGGGGCTTTTCCCCTGCAGACCAGCTTTCCTCCAGCAGCCTGGTGGGGTGGCAGGGATGGTGGGGTGGGTAACAGAGCCCCTTCAGCGTAACCATAGCACCCCAGCTAGGGTCTGGCACAGCTGGGGACTTTTCCCCTGGCAGCTTGGCTTTCATCCCTGCAACCCATGGGGATCTCTGTGACAGCTCAGGGGCCAGCTGAGCTCTGATGAAGCAGACAGTAGGCAGAGGCTAGCCTATCTGCCCTGCAAGGGGAGGGTTGGCAGGAGAAGTGCAAAACATCCTGGGATGTTGGGAGACTGAGCATTAACTTAAGTCAGGACGGAATCTGGGACATATGTTAGATAGACTGATATAACCTAAATCAAGCCTGATACTACATCTATCCATGTTTATCTTAAACTGGTTTTGGTACCCTGCTGCTCTGTCAGAGTGCTGGTATACTCTGGCATTTTTGGAAGCTATGGTCACGAGAAAATTCAAGCTCAAAAGGTAACACTAATGCAACTCTTCAATAGTCTTCCTATCAACACCTCATACTTATTCTGAAACTGGCTCTGGTAGCTGGTAAATATCATGCATTCAGTTGTGGAAGTAGACATTAAGGCTAAGTACAGAAAGTCAAAAAGCCTGAGGCTGAATTGATTCAATCTTTGCAGGTTAGTCTAAACTGAATGTATTGAACCAATACGCAAGTGAACAGACATTCACTTTTGATTCTGGAAATGCAGCCACATGCTGGCAGTGGCTCAGGTCAGAAGCTTGGGGGAGCTAGAGCACACCTCCCTGCATGGCTGGAGCAGACATCTTGGGCTATAGCTAGCCCACCCATCCTGCGATGGTGGGATTTGTGGAGGAGGTGCAATGCATCCTGGGATGCTGGGGGACTGTGAGTTAACTTGAGTATGGACAGGATCTGGGACAGAAGTTCAATAAACTGACTTAATCTAAATCAGTTAAGTCTCATTCTACATCCATCCAGCATCCCAACATGCTCTCTGGGCTGGGCGGGGCTCTCTGCTCCATAGAAGAGCTAGTCCCACCCCTTTACTCCCTGGCTGCAGCTCAGGCAGAGACTTGCAGGCTGTTCCCCACCATGCCCCTCACCACTCCTTGTGGTGAATCCCCCGCTCCCCTCTGCCTTGCTGAGAGGTGTCTGTGTATTAGCTAGCAGACCACATGCTGGCTGCAGTCCGTTCTGTGACAAAGGCACAATCAACAGGTAGCTAGTAATGTCCATCTGTTGTTTTCTTAATGGGATGATAAACACTGAGTTAGGGGTGATAAACACTGTTATGAATTTTCTGCTGGGCTAAACAGAGCATCCTGCCAGGGCCTGGCCACACCTTTGCCTCCCCCCGCCAGCTCAGCACTGTGAAGTGAAGGAAGGGCTGCTCTAGCACCCCCTAGCTTCTAGCTTGAGCCACTGCAGGCATGTGCCTGCATTTCTGGAATTAAAAGGGAATGTCTATCTATGTTCAAACCAGACCAAGCTTTGCAGGTTAGATTAATCCGCAAAGATTGAATAAGCCCTGATATGTTACAGATTTGAACTGGTTTCCAATCACTTATACCAATTTATATGTAATTTCTATCCCTAGCCTCAAGCAGGAGTGAACAGATAACATAGTTGCCTACACACCTATGTAACTTACTCGCATCCAGCAATTTTTTACACAGGAAAAATCAGGGATGTACAACAGTACACCAGTGTAAATTACAGAAATGTAGGTGTCATCTCTTTGTTTCCATCCTTGTATATCTATTTGGCCAATGCAAATAAGCTATTTCTGTTTCCCTTATCCCTAGTGACCAAGTACTGTAAGACTGCCTACTGAAAGCAGCTAACTTCTCTCTTTGCTCTGGATTCCAGGGTGATTTACACTGGTGGAGAAAACTTTTAAATTATACTGGTGTAAATGTGTTTTTTGTTCAGGCCCTAGAAGACAAGGAAAACAATCTTTAAAATCTGCCCATGTCACCTTATTGCCTAATACGTTCAATAATAATGAAAAAAAGGGAACTACAAACAGTGTGGGAGGGTAGAAAGTACTGACTGACTTTGGTTACTGCTAGAAAATCATCCACTGCAATAGAGAGGAAGAGAAGCCAGAAATTACCAAATTAGGTTTATGGTTATTACTATGTACTATTCAGGTAGATCATTTTAGATAAGGCTGGAAATATACCCTCAGTGTTCTGGTCTCTGTCTTGGACCTAAAGAAAAATTCATAGAGAAGTTCATCCCTGTTATTCATATAAATTCCATTAAGCAAATTAATAAAAAGTAAAACCACTCCCTCCCAATAAGCAAGCAAACAAACAAAGAAAAAAAGCCCACAGACATTTTCCTTTGCTACAAGTTTTGGTGACTACAATAGAATACTTACATGAAGGGCTGGTTGGGGTATTTTGATCCATAAACTCCGTGAAATTTAAAAGAAATTCAGTGTTGTTTTCTGATACTTTTACATCATTACAATATTCTCTGTAAAACAACAAACATTCATGTTAGATGTGTTTCATATGCTACTGGGACAGGTAAACATGACATACATTTGAGGGGTCAGGTAGCACTTTATAGGCCCTTAGATCTGAGCTACCACATTGTAATGGAGTGTACAACAGGATTCTGCAAAAATCAGCAGGAAGAAGGCACTGTCTTAAGTGAACAAAATAAATCCAAAGGATCAAAAGTAGTAAAATTGATCTTTTGCCAAAGGAAAAAAAAAAACCAAATAGGTAAAAGGATACTGGAAGCCTTATGGTTGTAGTTTAACATGGTATCTTCAGACAATGGTTTCCTAAGAAAAGATGTTTCTTGAATCACATATGCACACTCACACTCTTTTAACTTTGACACACACCCCCCCCCCCAAATATGCAGAGGTAAACTATTTTCATTTATGCTAGAGCTACCCAACTGGCAGCACATATGGCAGCTCATGTACCCTTGCAGCTGCTTCTTGTACTGCCATGCAGTGAGGCAGGGTGTGGGGGGCATATGCTCACTCTTGGCACTGGCATTGCCTATGTACAGGGAGGGGAGGGCAAAGGAGGACACATGCTGCTCCCCCTAGTCCACGTGGTAGGGTGAGCTGTACACAGCCGGCACTAGCCATGAGGATGGGGAAAGATTACAGTGGGCTCACCCATGCAGTGCGCAGCCTAGGATGATGCACACCTCCACCACACTTGGCCCCTGGCCACATTGAAGCCAGAGAGCCCTGATTTATACAAATCTTGTATGACCACATATCTCATGTGATACACTCAAAAATCTCTATGGCATGGTCCAGAAAGGACCTAATCAGAATTTAGAGCCCAACACTGAAGTCCACGCTGCAGAAAGACCCATAGAAATTCTGACCCACAGATTATGTGCAGGATCAGGGAGTAATACAAATGATCAGTTCAATAATTCAATCAATTTTCAGTACATTAAGCCCCTCAGGAAGATGAAATGCCCTTATGACTATAAGGGTTTCTGAGCTTGGGGTGAAAGTAAATAAACAAGCAGAAAAAAAACCTTACCTCTAATTTGTTTTAATTAGACTATACAATAATATAATTTAATAAACATTTGTATTTCACTACTGTTATATTCCAATTACAATGATTCAGAGGTACGATTTTTATTTGATTTTTATTTATTTCATCTCAGTTCAGTTATTTTAAAAAAAGTCAAACAAAATCCTTATAAAAGAATCATTTTAATCAGAATATAACTTGAGGATGCAAATACTTATCAAATAAACTAGTCTGAATCATTCTAGACTGACCGTGAGTATAGGATTTCTTCATTACTTATCTACCATCAGTATTATTTTAAATACTCACACTACACTCAGTCTTTATATAGTAACATTTATATCTTTGTGTTTTAGTTGCAAAAATGCCAAGGCCCAGGAGTGCATATGCCCATAAGAAAACCCAGGGAAGTAATCCAATTACAAAAAGTAATGTACTGAAACGCTACTGATGTAACAGAATTGCACCCCAAAAAAATCCCTCACATAAAAAAAATCACTCTTCATCCTTATATTTCAAAGATTTTACAAAATACAGAAATACTACAAAAAACATTTCCAAAAGAGGAAACTAAGGCATGGAATGGTAAAGTCGTTTGCCAAAAATTAATTGAGACCCAGGATTAAAACCCAAGTTCCTTCAGTCCCATCTGCAAACTGCATACTCTGGCTCACTGCCTATCCCCAATTAATAGATTAATGAATATAAGTCTTGAATAATGTTTCTGTGTTATGTTATTCATTTCTCCAAACACTGCAACACTGAAAAACAGAGTACAGCCCCATATTACAAATTACAAAAGAAAGTAGACTGCAAAGATATTTTCATATTCTACTAAGAAAAAGATATCTGACCTTGCAAAACATGTTTAGCCATTGTGCTTTTTACTGAACATTTTTCCAAGCACATTTCTTGTGCAAAATTAATTTTGCGGGCTATGTTTCATAAGTGTCACTAACCTGATCAAGACTTCTTATTTACTGCTGTGTATAATACTTAGAACTGGGAAATTGACCAACCTTGGTGCAATAAAGGTATAGCCGGCTTTATCAAAGTGATCGAGCTTCAGAGTTTCTAAATCTACAAAGATGAAGATGAATGTCAGATAAATAAGTTGGGCTTTGTTCTACTATGTCCCCAGGCTTGCCTTTTATTTGTTATTTGCAAAATTACACAATAACTTCTTCATGCATCTACGAATTTTAAAAATGGTGATCTCTACAGAACAGTTTTCTAAAGAACAGTTTCTGACTAACCTACTATACTAGCCACCAGAATTCCACCTTGCACAAAGAAATTGCCTAATTACTATATAACAATGCACCAAGCAATAATAAGATAGCTGAAGTAAGTTAAGTCTGAGCTGTTTCATTAGCATGACAATGTGAAAATATATGGGACATTTTCATTAGCATTATACTGCGACAGCTAGACATTTTTGGAACGTGGAGCATTTTAGACTATCAAAGGAAAAACATGGATTTGTAATACATTCAATATAATTCAAAAGCATTATTTCATACAAAAAGTTCATCATGAATCAAAAGGTGACAGGATCAGACAAACAAGGATTAGAGATTGGCAACAAATTAAAATGTGCATGAAAACACAACAGCATTTTATAGATTTTTTTCCTCTCTATTGCTATGGTACCCAATCATGATGGGAGAAATCCAGAGATGAGGAATACAAAGGAGAATGTCCAGTAGGAATGGAAACATAAATGGAAAATACCAACTGCAGTAAACAGAAGGAAATTGAGCAACAAGAATATACTTGCCCTTTTTGACTGTGAAAATCCATCAGAAAGAGAAAGCAGGGAAACAGAAAAAAACAGGGTAAAGCAAAAGGGGTCACAAACCAATATTTTATTCAACCAGCCCCTTGAATAAAAATATTGTGCAAAGATAGATCAAAGGTTCAGTATATGTACAGTTGTAGTCTGGAAAAAAGACAAACATCTTTGAAGACTGGAGTGTATGTCCTTATCAATTATTTCTATAGTACCTTCTATATACTGTGGCTATTTCAAGGGTCTGTTTTAGGGTGCACTGTTGAAGTTACGGCACAAACAGATCTACTGTGCACAGAATATTTTTTTCTCCCATTAAAATTTTAATGACTATTCCCTATTTGATACAGTTATAAAATGAATCAGCCCAAATTACTGGTTGTTAAAAGCATATTATATCTCCTACCCATCATGTGATCATTGAAAATTTTCTTTTTCATTGGTAAGGAAGTCTAATTTGAGCTAATAGATGCTTTGACCAAAAAGTAGACTTGCAAAAAATGTAGAAAAGCTTATATCCTGATGTTCTCCTCAGTTAAGTTTTTAACTATGTATGTTTCTAAATATAGATGAAGCTGTTTCAAGTTTGGATTAATTCTTGCATACAAGTTATACTTTTAACTACAGTCAAACTAAACAAAGAAAATAATAATTAAAAAAATACTTTATAGCTAGAAATACTTCAGAGATACTATTTCTAATTATTTCCCCTGCATCTTGAAGGGGCTTGAAATTAGTGTAATCCACACCAGTTTAAACATGTATTGAAAGCAGCTAGAAAGTTCAATATAAACACTTATCTCCAAACAAAAACTAAACCATTTTAATCATTATTCTAGCTATATGCACAGTTTACTATAAACAGCACTGTAATAACTGCATAAAATGAAAAGCAGCTTGCTACCATAGCCTGTAAGTTAATATTTTGCAGGTTGACTATTTAAATGTCAGCTAGCAGGCCCTTAAAATGACAGCAACAGAGGATACACAAAGCAATGATTCAATAGGTACATAGCAAGGGGTAAAGGGTTGTCAGTGAAACTGGGGTACCTGTACATATTCTAGCTACGTAGAATATTTCTTGTACCTTCGACGTTTACAATGGGTTAGAATCATTGCTGCAGATTTTTGGGTACATCATGATAACATATTTTATGAATTTCAAATGTTATGTTGTTAAAAAAGCCTGAGTCTCAATCATAACAGTCAGAAGCCAAAGACCCTCCACAGTACTTACATCTGGCCTGAGTTATTGATTCTTCTATTTTGGCTTTAATATAGTAAAAGCTGTACGATGGTAATACCAAGGCCAAACTGTAACAGAAATAAGACAAGCATAAAGAAAGAAACAAAGACACATTTAGCTCAGTGGGGAATCTCTCTACGATTTGTTGCAGTTTCCTCAAATCAGCTTTAATGTGTCTTTGAAAATGAACACATTAGGAGTGACAATTATCATGAAAGGAGATGGTTACATTACTGTGTGCAATCCCCCATCCACCACATGTACTGGTAGGCACCCACAGGGTTTGGGAATAAAGTAAATCTAATAAGAACAATGGGGAGGGGTGGAGGAGGGGACTTCAGCACCCATTTTGAAATTCATAGAAAACTCACTTTTTATGGGTGTCTTTACAGCAAGTCAGACAGAGAACAGCAGAAGAATCACAGACAACATTAAACTGCTATGATAACAGCATAAGATGACTGATTCCCCTTTCAATAACAAGACAGCTACTGGTATTCACTACATAAATGTCAAACTCTATAGTACTTAAACTAGGGTATCTCCAAGAGAGAGAATACCATCTATAGTAGCCACTAAACAAATAAAATCCTTTGACACATAAATTTCCAGTATATATAGCCACTTGACTTCCTGTCAATGTTTCTTTACAAATCTGCCTTTTTATTTTTACCTCTAAAAAAATCAATGTGTATGTGAATATAGTTTCAAACTGATGCAAAGTACAGATCCCCAGCAGAGAGAGATCTTTCCCATGCCACATTCTTAAGGGTTGCATTCCATTTTCATTAACATAAAAATACATTTTACCGGTGGCTTCTTATGATGGCTGCAGAAATTAACATTAAAACAAGTTGTACCTTTGGGCCCAAGCATGATGACCTTTAATGATGCATTTGCCATTTAAACAGCATGTAAATAAGATTGCTGATTATTTAGAGAGAGCCTTCCACAATTCCCCTCCAGGGAAATCAGGAGAGGTTTACCTGTCATTAACAGTTATAGTGAACAGAAACTACTAATTAAAACCTATAATTTTATAGGTTTAATGGGCTTACTGCAATGTGACCCCAGGAGATTAACTGCTGTCTCTCAGCCTAGGAGTTAGTTAATCAAATGTCTTTTTGTACCAATTGTTAGATAGTATTATATGATGGAAAATACCATTTTTTTCCAACCAAATAAAAAATTGGTGTAGCTCAATAGAAGAATGACATTCTGAATTTAACATAATTAGGTAGCTCCTTACATTCATTTGCTACCACTAGTTTTACTTACTTGTGTCTGTTTGTGAGAGGGTAGATTTGGACAGCAGGAACATTATTAATTCTATTTTCAATGCAAAAGAAATTCAGCTTGGGTGGGGCCAGTAGCACCTACCAGGCTAAGGCTAAGAACATACAATCAAAAAGCCTGAGGCTGAATCAATCCAATGTTATATAATGTATATATACATACATACATACACCTATATGTGATTTTAAAAAATCCTTTTCTTCTTTCTTTGCACTTTTTATCCACCTGAAATAAAACATTATGAGTGGCTATGCTTTGAAACATGTACATGGTCCAAACTACCCTAATTTGGACTCTCAGGAACTCATGGAAGCTGAGCTTAATGCTAGTAATATTAAAAGCTACACAGTTTTCAAATGAAGTATGTTGCATTTTCTTGGACAGAACAAAATCAGATTATATAGGGAAAGGGCTGCCAAGATGTTACATCCTTTCCAATATCACAAGGATGTTATAGAGGCTGAAATCATGCACACTGCAGCAACTGTGTTAGTTTTCCATGATGTATATCATTTTGTGCTGCTGTCTCCTATGATTTTATATGCACATAATAATTTCATTGATATTTCATGTTTTTATACAACATTGTAAGAGCACATTTCAGGGAGCTAACATGACAGTTCTTGCCCTCAAGACCTTACAAATCTAGGTTAGATACAAAATGATGCAAGATATGATGAATATGAGATTAAGAAGAAGAATTACCCAAAGTTAATTTCCAATGTAACCTGTTTGGAAAGGCTTCTAATGTTCCCTTTTTAATTAGTAAATAAAAAATATACTTAAAAACAGCCTGATCCTGCATGTTTTTCTTTGGGAAAACATGTGTGGCTGGCAATGGTGGCCTCTTATTGAGACGGAAAGAAAAAGAGGGGCAGGAAGGAAGGAAGGGGTATCATAGCCCAGTATAAATCCCCTCTAGTCATCACCTAAAGGAAGATGCATGATATTCATATACATCACGTCTACACCAATTCAGGGAAATCTGGTTTCTAGACTTCTATGTGCTTTGTTAGATAAAAATAGAATTAATCAAAATAATCATATGTAATTCAATAGCAAAAGTGACTATGCAAACATCTGATTACCTGTAATCAGTGCTATTCACAGGAGTCCATGTATATGTTCGATTTCCTTTGTCAATATATCTCTGGAAAGCAACATATATAACATTAGCATTGCCTTTAAAGCTCAGTAAACACTTTCTTCAGTGCATTACTGAAGATAAAGTAGTGTAAAATTCAGTATCCATCTACTGTATTGCCTTCTGTCTTTTAACGAATTACCACCAGTAGTAGTTTATTTAGTTTTCACTAAAACAATACAATAAATATTACTACTACTCATGAAAATGTGACCTTCCTTGCAATTACTTGTTTTCAACAACATAGTTATCTGCACAGTTTAAATCTGATTGTAAACAATTTTAGAAGTGTCAAGCACTTCTAAGCCTTGTATCTGGCACAGCCATTTCTACTTTGTGCCTCTTTGACAAGTCCATTTTTTTTTTGTTTTAATAGATTTCATAGATATTAAGGCTGGAAGGGACCTCAGAAGATTGAATCCAGCCCTCTGCCCCAGAGGCAGGAAGTCAGCTAGAATCAAAGGATCCCAGCAAGATAAGCATCCAAACATTTCTTAAAAGAGTCTAGAGTAGGTGCTTGCACCACCTCTGGCAGCAGTCTATTCTAGGTGTTGGTGGCTCGGACAGTAAAGAAGTTTTTCCTTATGTCCAGACTAAAACAGTCTTGGAGGAGTTTGTGACCATTGGACCTTGGGAGTTTGTGACCATTGGACCCATGGGGTGCTTTGGTGAACAGGTGTTCCCCCAGATGCTGATGTACAACCCTCATATACTTACAGGCTGCCACCAGGTCACCCCTAAGCCTGTGCTTCTCCAGGCTGAGGAGTCCCATGGCTTGCAGTCTGTCTTCATAAGGCCTATTCTCTTGCCCTCTGATCATGGGTGTGGCTTTCCTTTAGACTCTCTCAAGCTTCTCCACATCCTTCTTGAATTGTGGAGCCCACAACTGGGTGCTGTACTCCAGCTGTGGCCTCACTAAGGCCAAGTACAGAGGGAAGATGACATCCTGAGATTTACTTGAGAAGCATCTATTGATGCAAGCCAGAGTTTTGTTCATTTTACCAGCTGCAACATCACATTGGTGGCTCATGCTCATCTTGCAGTTAATCATGACCCCCAAGTCATTTTCGGTTGTGGTACTAGCGAGCATAGCACTGCCAAGCCTGTAAGTGTGCTGTTCCTGCTCTTCCACTGTGCCCCCCTTGCCTTGGGGTCTCTCCGGGCAGTCCCCGGCAGTAAGAAAAAAATGGGGGGGGGAAGAAAAATTTAAATGAAGAACGAGAGGTAGGGCCGTGGCCCATCCCCACTCACTTGTTCGACGCCAGCGGCCCCAACAGTCTCCTGGGGTTGTCCTGGCTCCTCTCCTCTGTTGTGGACCCCTCCTGTGGGTCCAACTCTGAGTTCCTCGGTGTCCACCGGCACTGCTCATGCCCAGCATGGGAAGCACCCTCACTGTCCGCTCCCCGTGGTGCTTCTCCCATGGTTTCCCCAGTGCCATCTTTTATTCCGGCTGGGCAGCATCTGGGGATGATGTCACCTGCCCATGCCGGCCTCAACCAGAAACAGATGCAGGTCATGAACCTTACTGGTGCTTCGTGCCGGCACAGCTCATTTATCTCTCCCCAGCCTGGAATAGGTAAGTGTGCCCTGATTTCAGGGTTTTTCCCACAGGGACAGGCTGCCCCCATCCCGAATCCTGCTGTAGGAGGAGTCTTTCATCCCCAGCCTGGATCACCAGCCTATCCTTGGGTGTGGACGCTCTATGTCATCGACAAACTTTGTCAGTCCGCCTCTGACACCAGCATCCACACAGTTAATAAACACGTTAAAGAGTACAGGTCCAAGGATGGAGCCTTGCAGGACCCCACTGATCATGGAGCTCCATGATGATTCATTTCCGTTGACTACCACTCTCTGGGTCCGACCTCAGAGCCAATTCCCCAGCCATCTATTGTGATGTAGCCGAGGCTGCAGTTGCCTTATTTTTCCATGAGGAGATCTTGGTACACCAGATCAAAGGCTTTTTTAAAGTCCGGATATATGACGCCAATCTTTTCTCCCTTGTCCATGTGATATGTCACCTGGTCATAGAAGGAGATGAAATTGGTCAGGCAAGACCTACCCACAACAAACCCATGCTGGCTGTCCCTCAGGATGTTGCCATCAGCCAGCTTGTCTAGAATGGTCTCTTTAATAACTTTTTCCAAAATCTTTCCAAGAACTGAGGTCAAGCTGATTGGCCTGTAGTTCCCCGGATGTACTTTCCTTTCTTTCTTGAAGATAGGCACCACACTGGCCTTCTTCCAATCTTCAGGTACTTCACATGAGCACCACGAATTCTTGAATATGCTTGCCAGTGGCTGGGCCTAACAGCTTCTTAAGTACTCTGGGGTGCAAGTTGTCAGGACCTGCTGATTGAAGGTGGCCAGCCTCTTAAGGTATTCCTTTACAAGATCTACACCAATGCTGAGTATAAATCCACCCTCACCCTGGCCATCTCGCATCATATTAGGCAGGGTGGTCCCTTTGGGCTGATGGAAAAACCACGCAAAGTACCCATTAAACAGGTTGGCTTTTTCCTGGATGTCAGTTGTCAGTTGTCCCATTTGGTTTAGCAGGGGTCCAATGTTACCTTGATTTTCTTCTGACTCCTCACATATCTGAAAAAGGATTTTTTATTGCCCTTGATATGTGTAGCCAAGTCAAGTTTGGTTGCAGCCTTGGCTTTCATGGTTCACTCCCTACAAGTACAGACCAGTGCAAACTACTCCTCCTTCATGGTGATTCCTGTCATCCATCCTTTATAAGCCTCTTTTTAGACATAGGAGGTCCATAAGTTTCCTGCTGAGCCCAGAGGGTTGCTGTGCCCTTTTGCTACCTTTCCTCCGAGATGGGATGGATATCCCTTGTGCTTTCAGGATCTCAGCCTTAAGAAACAACCACTCATCTTGGACTCCCCTCCCTGTCAAGTCATGGTCTCTTAGGGCCTCAACAACAAGCCTCCTGAGCTTATCAAAGTCAGCTTTCCTAAAGTCAAGGACTTTTGCATTGCTGACTGAGTTGCTAGCTTTGTGATAGATAGTAAAAGTGATCAGCTCGTGGTCACTGTGTCCCAGCTGTCCTTCAATTCTTAGGCCACTGATTAGATCATCTCATTTGGTCAGTACCAGGTCCAACAGCGCTTTACCTCTTGTTAGTCCATAGACTTCTTGAGTCAGGTAGAGCTCATCCACGCATGTGAGGAAGCTTTGTGACCATTTGGATTTGACCAAGTGCTCTTCCCATGAGATGTCTGGATAGTTGAAGTGTCCCATGACAACCATGCACCAAGAGCATGTGGCCTCAGCCAGTTCCCTGGTGAATTCCTGGTCAAGCTCTTGTACTTTATTAGGAGGTCTGTAGTAGACTCCTACCATTGTATTCCCTGTGCCATGTTCCTTACGTATTTTAACCCAGTGGGTCTCCAGTCATCCTCCATGCCTACCAATGTCAGCTTGTAGGGACGTGTAGCTTTCCTTGACACAGAGAACTACCTGCCCCCATCCCTTTTTTCTGTACAATCTTGCCTGTACAGGGTATAGCCTATGGCCCAGTCAAAGGTGGAGTCCCACCGGGTCTCCGTTATCCCTATGATATCGTAGTCATTCTTGTTTAGCAGGAGGACCAGTTCCTCCTGTTTGTTATCTAAGCTCCTGGTATTGATGTAGAAACACATAAATGTTCCATTGTAAGCCCTAGGCTTCCTTGCACTCCTAGGAGGACACTGTTCCAGGGCTGGGGTAGAAGTGGATTTTCTTGAGTGCCCTAACCTGCTGGTTTTGCAGTAGTTGCCTAGTGGACTTGCTTTGGCAGTAGTCCACCCATCCCCCAGCAGGCTTAGTTTAAAGGCTGGTTAAGCAGGTCAGCCATTCTGGCTGAGAAGAGCTTCCTCCCCCATGAAGTGAGGTGGAGGCTGTCTCTTCAGACCACTGCCTCTCTCACCAACGAGCGGACTGTGATCATGGAAGCCAAAGCTTTCCCGTTGACACCAGCGCCACACTCTTCAATTGACTACCTCAGTCCGTCTCTGCCTCCTCAGACCATGACCTGTAACCGGAAGGATCAAGGAAAAGGCCACCTGCACCCCCAACCCCCTAAGCCCCGCTCCCAGAGTCCTGTAGCCACTCATGGCCTGGCCACTCACGTTATTGTGGTGATTGTGGTTTTTAAGTAAGAGAGAGAATCTTCCTCAGAGAATTTGCCCAGAAAACTTGTATATGGGGAGGAACCAGTGATAAGCAGAGAAAGAGTTAAATGAAACCTTATATTAAAAAAAAGTATACCCAGGCATACAATATTACATATTAGTAATATTGAGGCATTATCTATCTATTCACATGCACATATGCTCTGTGACTTTGACTGTAGAAATATTTATCCAGGAGCTTCACTTTACATACAGGTAAAGCTACCATGAGTGTTTTTGTAAAGCATGGTATTAAGTTCAGTTTTTCAATTCACTAGCTTTGGGAATGAAAGATGACATGATAAAGCTGGGCCTCCAGCTCCCCATACGAAACTTAATCAGTATTAATGCACCCTGCTGGACCAATTTTCCCCAGTTTTCTAACATTAAAAATTATAACTTGCATGCCAGCTGCAGAATATTGCTACTTTGCAGTCAGAGAACAAGATTGATGAGGATGCCCTCAATAAAACTGACACAGCTGCTGTAACATAACTTTACTAGTAATGTTCAAATGTACTATGGTAAATGTCTACATTCTTCCAGTCCCTAAGCAAATATAAAAGCAAAAATATTATCATGATTATGAAGGCAAGGTGTTTTGGGCTATTGTCTGACATTTATGATTTGAACAGTTCTCTTACTCCTGCTGTTACTTTTCAGTAGAGCAGAGCAGGTGTCATTTGCCATAAAGAGGATGTTTATAACAAAAAGCAATGTTTTAAAATCTTTGACTGAAGGCAACAAGATGGCTGAACTAACTGAGCAAAGAACTCATCATAAATGACTAGTAGGGGGTATATGGGGGTGCATGTACACCCCCGATAGGGCCAGTGCCCCTCCTGATGGCCAGTACTGATGCTGTCAGCAGGGCTGGTGCCCCCCCGACAGGGCTGCTGTTGTTGGAGGGTGCCCCCCGCCATTCAGGGGGCACCAGTTACCCATGGAACTCATGTTTATTTATTGACTTAATTACTGTGAATTACCCAGCTACACCAGGAAAGGAAAAGAAATAAAAGAAAGCATCTTACATATGTATCATATTCATGCATTCATAAAAGACAGACTAAGGATGAAATGGATTTTCCCATGGAAAACTGAGTACAAGTTTATATAAGAATTTCTTACTATCCTACATGGAGCTGATTCAGAGGAACCATTTGTTACTGGGTCTCTAGCTGTAATCTGGCCATGGTCAGCAGTGCTGCAGAGGCATTTTCATTTCATAGTAGTTTAAGGAACTGTAATTCATTTAATAAAATGATCTAGCTGTTTCAGTCAACTATCTAATGGCTAGGTGTTGAGGCCGTAAAAGTAATTTAGTATGCCTTTGACTTTATAACAGGTGTAGGCAACCCTCACAGGTGCCAGAGCATGTACGTGAAGGCATTTTGCTTGGCATGCACTTCTCCGGGCAGACAGTAGGGGAGGGCCCAGGGCTGCACTGATACAACAAGCATCAAGCCCCTTGTAGCTCCCCCACAATCCAACCCTGGCATGCCAACATCTTACAAGTCAAGGTTGCAGGTGTTTTTGTTACTTTGACCAAAAACATTGCCGACCCCTACATTCAAATGATATACTATATCAGCAGATAGCCATGGATTAAATGGAGACTGAAATATGTCTGTTCTGTCTGTGTTCTAGAAGTGATGATTCCTTTATGCCACAGTTCTGACCTACAGTGTCAAATAATCTGCACAGTCCATAATAATAATGTAATATGAGGTTAATGTCCATGGTTACTAATCAAAGACCTGTAAGGTGCTTGACACTGCTTAGAGGTTCATAAAAAAATATAAAAATGGAATTGCTATTTAAAGCAATAAATTAACAAAAATGTTTTTAATGCTATGATTTTTACAGGGACACATTTCTTCAAAAATGACGTTAGAGTAGACCAAATCTGTGCTTTCTGCCAAGACTTCTGCATGTTGTGGTATGGACAAGCATGAATGAAGAGGGGGGACATTTATCATAATTATGGCTACCATAAAATATGTTTACACAATAAATTTAATTAAATTGGAAATATAAGAAACAAATGTGTAGTGCTAAATAAAAACTTAAACTGTAGAAACACTTCAGGAATAATTTATCCATGAGCAAATATCATCCTCTTGATCCAAATGTTAATGTGAAAGGTGGACTATGTGCTACTACTACAAAACGACTGATTTAAACTCAGGGGTCTTCAAGCTTACAAAAAAACTTGGCAGGAAAAACAAATCTGTCATGTGCCTTATTCTCTTTGCATCCTATTCTCTTGCTTCTCATGATTTTCTGAAACTGTCGGCCTCATAAGGAAGCCTCACTCCTGCTCATATTGAATTATTATAGATTCTTTTGTTTAAAAAAAAAAAAAGATTTTTAGTGCCAGGGTGCTGGGACCTCCGTGGTTATCACCACCACCATTTTATAGTCATATGGTTAATTAGCATTTTTACAGATATGAAACAATTCCTGATTCTGAACTCACACAGATTTAACTTGGTTAAGGTCAATGTAGTTACTCTTGATTCACCCTGGTTAAAGACTAAACTCAGGCCCAATGGCTACTGGTAGACATGAAAAAATCAAAACAAAATAGCACTTTACCAGAAAAGGAAGCATGTTAGTTTGACCCGGCTCCCCAGCATCTGTATAAATGGGTGCTTCAGGGGGCTTTTAGGTGCTTTTATCTTAAGCTGATTTAATCAACTAGTACGTTTCCCAAACTCTGACAGATTGCGCACCACCATTTTAAAATGATACAACCTTAAGTACCACCGGCAATATTTTCAGTTCAACCTTAAGTACCACCAGCAAATTTTTGTCATATAAACTAAATATAATAAATCTGTTAACACTGACACTGACAGGTTGTCTGCTAACCACCGGTGATAGATTGGGAACTGCTGAGTTATTAGATAAAAGTGAAAAAAGCCCCACTGAAGCACACAATGTATACAGACGCTGGACAAGCTGAGTCAAACTAACATGATGCCTCTTCTGGGCATACATTATGCTTGGTGCAGGGGAGCACCAAGCTTAAAGTAAAGCACTGGGTTTTTGGGGGGTTTTTTCCACATCTGGAAACAGCCAAAGTGTCCGAGTGGATCAGGTTGTTATTTAAGTACAGACGTAACAGTAGGTGACAGTAAAACAGGTGGTACAGGAAAGGCAGAGAAGCAAGTAATTGCCTCTCGGTGATAAGTACATCCTGTTGGTTCTGCTTATTATTTTATGGTTTGCATGTATTTATAAATAAAAACCCTGGTTTCTGTACTTTTTATTTGTTGTCATCTTAATTCAGGTTGTTTATATATAAAATTTGCACTTCTCCATCTCTGGAAGTACTAGAAGCCAAATGAGTCCTCTTCAGACTTATAGAAGCCATAGCATCTGAAGAAGTAAGGTGTTGCCTATGAAAGCTTTAGCATTTCTGAACAAGCTAGTCTCTAAAGGAGCCTATTACACATACACTGAGGCGGCTCCGATGTGCTGTGATTACAACTCGTCAGAGCAGACTTGATTAATCGAGTCTGCTGGTAATTACTGCATTCCAGCAGACCCCAGCATTACGTATATCAGTGTCCTGGTCCTGAAAAATGGTGGCGGGGGGCACTTTAACTAAAGCTCGTTCAATGGGATTTAGTTAAAGTGTCCCTGCTGCCATTTTTCAGCATGGGAACGTCCATACACATGACACTCTGGGAGCCTGAATTAAAACAGCTCTCAAAACTGCTCCAATTAAAGCACCCCCCCACAACCTTCTGCTTGACTGTAGACTAGCACATCTAACCACCTCTCTTTACATATGCCTATTATGGACCTACTGGGCTTAATAATGGCTAGGACTCATACAGATGTAGCACACTCTGGCCAAGACTCCAGAGGGGGAGAATAGCCATAGGACCTGCAAGCCCTCATTAAATTTAACAGGTTTGACCCATACATATTGCAGATCAATATTATCTATGGATTCTCTCGACTGCTGGCAAAGCGCCAAGTTAGAGACAGTTCTGTAATTCTTGGAGCAATACGATAGCTACCCTATCAGTACTGAGTATCTAACTTGTTTGGAAAACAACATCAGGACACCAAAGCATGCTGTTTTGAAAATGTCACCTAGTTTGTGGTTGTAACTGGATGATTTGTTTATCGTAAAGAATCCTAATTATGAACTGTAAATCCAACAGACATTTTCCACCTTATTTTCTTCACATCCACCCAAAATATAATTGTACAAAGCCCCACATTCCTAAACAAACAGACTTCTGCTATTGGTTTAATGTGAGGAAGTACGACAGCCCTTTGTTAAGGCCCTGACACGCACAGTAACACCTTACCGACAATTTTATGAATATAAAACATGAAAGAAACAGAGAAACAAAGAACTCTAGTTCTTAAGAAATGCCTGCTTTCCTGTTGTGCAAATGTGGAAAGCTGACAACTCCATTGGGGATAGGGAACAGAAGGAAAATATTTGCACATGAAAAATCCTGCAGCTCTCCTACAACATTAGAAACGTGGAATACTGGGTTTTAAATATAGAAAGACAGCATAAAATTATTATCACATCATTGTTTTGCAGTATTTTGTTGTAAAGGCATAATAGATCCTGTATTCTGATCTCACCTCATCTTGAGACTTGACCAGTGTCGTAAACACCCGTTCCCCACTTTCGCCATCTATCATTTTTTTCCGAATCTAGAAACAAGGAAAATAAGATGGTAAAATAAAAGCTAAAAATTATATACAATATGAATAATGTTTTCCACAATCCATCCTTACAAGCAATGCAATCATGATAGCATATTAGGAAAAAAATTGCCCAGACAAGCCTATTTGTTAAGAGACTATATCTTACTTGAAAACAAATGGAACCAACTCGTGTAATTCATACTAACGTAAGTGGTTATTTTGACACTAATGAGCCCATGCAGGTAAGCACTGCTGGTATAAGGAAAGGCTGCGTGTCTGGGTTCACTGGACATAGGTATCAATCATTGCAATATACAGAATGTATTTGCCCACGAGACAGCCTAGAACATGTGTTTTTTCACTGACTGAGGATGCAAAAATCTTGTTGTTCTTACAGTATTTTTACAGTGTATTGTTTGAAGAATAAAATGTTGGTATTGGAAATTCTATAGAAAGATGCATGGAGAATCTTAACACTAAATTGAAATTTGTAGCATCATTCAAAACAACAGGGTTATTAAACTTAGCCACTTGTGTTCCAAAGAAAAAGCAGATTCTCAAAAGCATATTCAGAAATGTTATTAAAATCCTCCTCATACAAAAATATCAGATTTTTCTAAACAATTAAAAACTATTACGAAGTCTGCTTTTTAAAGAACTACAGCTTTAGCAAATGGTAGGAATCAGATGCATCTCAGCTATTACACAGACCAGCAGAGAATCTGTATTTGACGACAGGTTGCTAGTGTACCTCACCTCAACTTTAATATCATTTTCCAGTTCAGCATCAAGAAAATCCAGTGTCACAGGCTCCTGGGATTTAGGATTCTGAAGCAGAAGATATTAAACCATCAAATAATAAACATTTTTCATTGTAATGTTATGAATAGGTTGCTGGAAACTATTCAAATATTTACTCAGACCACATTAAGCTGTTTAAAAAAAGGATTACTTACCCTTCTATCTTTAATAACTTAGAGCAGAATGAATTACTAGTGGTACTTTGTAACTGAAAATGAACTTAAAAAAAATCAAGAAATAATTGGGCAAGAGATAATTGCACACAATGCTGATGGCTAGATGCTGATTCCTCTATTGGTATGTCACAAATTGTAAGCATGGTAGTAAAAATTGTAGATGAAATGCTAGAAAAGGAGTCTTTTATTATGTTTCCTGCCACCAAGAAAGGAGGGAAGGAAGGTGGTTAGAAAGTTTTCCAGATGACTAATAATTTTAAATTCTCAACAGGACTTTTCTTATCCACAGCTGATGTAACAGAATAGCTAAAGATAGTCAAATGTGCAAGATATGTTCTGAAAGAATCTGGTACCCTGCTCTCAGTGTGCTTCATATATGTATTTTATAGCTCATACATGGGACTTTAAGTAAAGTTCAAGATACTCTTTATTTCCCCTGTGCCCTGCATTGTTCCCAGGTTGTTGGTCTATTGTATGGCTACATGTGGATTGCTAGACAGGATTGATTTTATTCATATATATTTAATTATACTTTGGTGTCAAGCATTTTATCATTTGTTAGGAACCTGTAGACTATAATTAATGTACCCTATAATTAAATAATAATAATCTTTATTATAGTGGCAGGGGCACTTGCTCAGCTAAGATCTATGCAGCCATAAAGGATCAGTGATGTTGAAAATAAATGTCATATGATGATAGAATTAGTACTGAATCCATATAGGAACAATTACATGCTCAAAGATGAAATGGAAAAGATCAGTTACCTTTTGCATCTCTGTTTTCTTAATTCATGCTCCAGTCCTACACAAGTCTTACCAAAAGCAACAGGATTGCTTTATTTTATGTATTTAAATGGCTTTAAGTACTTACATATGTATCAAAGTATGAATACCTCAATTTTTTACGTGGTTCTCCTTGCAACATCAATGAGAAATCAATAAATCAAGTCCTATTTTCTTCATGTTATTAAACCAAAGAGACTACTTATTTATCTATTTGGTGTATATGCCACCCCAAAGAAGACTTAAGGTAGCTTACAATAAAAGACAATATATCTTATAAAATACAGATGGCATGTTAAAATAAGTAAGGCATATAACAATACAAAACTCCCCAAACAATGCCTCAACTTAACCTTGCTTGCTAAATGTCTGCCCAAATAAAAAAGGCCTTCCAGCCCTTCCAGAGGATGCTTAAGCTTGGGCTCTGGTGGGCCACAGGAGGAAGTTGTTCAAAACACAGGAATTACTTCCAAAAATGACCTCCCATGTATTTGCACCAAGTGAATTTGGCATACAGATGTTACTTGCAGGTGGTTGGTTCTTGTCTGATTTTAGGGACCAGATGGAACATAAGAGAGAAGATGGTCCCTCAGATATGCAGGTTCCAGACCATTTGGGACCTCAGAGATCAAAATCATCACTTTGAATTGTTCCTGGAAAGTTATTGGGTGCTAGTGCAGACTCTGGAGCTCTAGATTAATGTGCTCCTGACCCATCCCCATCAGAAGGTGGGCCTCCACATTCTGTACCTGCTACAGGCCACACAAAGCCACAGATAGAGCATATTGCAGCAGTCTAGCTCAAGGTTATGAAAGCACAGGTTATGGTGGCCAGATCTGAATCTGAAAGAAAGAATTGCAGCCTTCTCACCAAATAAAATTGGTGAAAAGTGCTCCAAAGTAAAGGATCCAAGAGCACCCAAGGCCATGAACCTTTAATTTTATGACCAGCTACAATTTATCATTCCCAATTTCATATTAAGCAAATAATAAAATCTTGCTAATTCAATGTAATGCATAGAGGTAATTTACAGGGGTGCAGGCTGTAGCTGTGTTGGTCCAAGGACATAGGCAGGCAAGGTTCTTTGGGTGAATCTGATATCTTTTATTAGACCAACTTAAATAGCTGGGAAAAAAAATTAGCAAGATTTTGGGTTTAAAAACCCTTCGTCAGGCTGAGCAAGTCTCTGCAGTTGGTGTGTGCTCTTCCTGGATGGAATGAAAAGTAAAGAAGCCAGAGGCTGGGCTGGTCTGCATACAAAACAGGCAGTCAGTGAAGATATAAACTGAGTTGTCAGTGGGTGAGAGACAGGCTGGGGGGGCGGGGAGAGAAAAGGGGGATGAATGTAGCAGTTAAATAGTGGAGAGATACCTGGGCAGTCAGATGTCAGGCAGATTATAATGTGTCATAAATCCAATGTCTATATTTAGTCCAAAATATATATATATATATATGACTCTCTATATATACAGAGAGAGAGACTATATGGAATATAGAATATATGGACTAAATATAGGATTAATGACACATTATAACCTTCCTGACATCTGACTCCCCAGGTACCTCTCTACTATTTAACTACTACATTTGATCACCCTTTCCTATCCCCCGCCCCCACCCTGCCTGCCTCTCACCCACTGACTCCTCAGTTTATATTTTCACTGACTGCCTGTCTTGCAATGTATACCCGCATCTGGCTTCTTTACCATTCATTCCATTCAGGAAGAGCACACACCAACTGCTGAGGCTTCCTCAGCCTGACAAAGGGTTTTTAAACCCAAAGCTCACTAATTTTTTTTTCCCCCAACTATTTAAGTTGGTCTAATAAAAGATACTAGATTCAACCAAAGAACCTTGTCTGCCTAGAGGTAATTTAGGCTTTTCTTAAAAGAATTATGATTTGAAATCCTGCACTAAGCAGCTTAAAATAGGAGGGGAACTGGGTACCAATATATTTTGGTTTTGGTTTTTTTGGTTCGTTTTGTTTTGCTTCACAAGTTTTGTGCATGTGTGCGTGCATGTGCATGTTTGTGTAAATAAAACATTATATATGGAAAGGAATTCAGGAGCCAGTCTTCACTGAGCACTACATAAGCATTCCTCATGATGTAAGCCAATGTTGCTATCACTTGTACTCACTAAGCCTCAATTTACTATGTCAGGGAATAAACTGTTCTCATTTATTTTTAGAATGGTGGCTGCATCCTTTGTTTATCTAAATAAAAAAAGGTTATAAAAATGTAACCCTTACATTTTGGCAGTGGCTAAGTTATAGTAACTGAATGCAAATCAGGCTTTCTGCCAAATGTAAATGGTCACTACTTGTGACAAATGTATTAAGTAGTGCAGACATGATACTTCTTTCATTTATGCCAGTTTGACTCTATAGATTTCTATGCACTTACTCCCACTGTATGCTGGTAGAATCATGTCTTGTGTGTTTGGCTGGGAAATATCTTCATGTAAATGATTTGGAGTACTAGGGGCAATTCAGTTAGATTTGCTCCTGATTTTTGTGGTTCAATGAGATTTACATTGGTGTGAAAAAGGTGCACGTTCGGTCCCTTGAATTCTGCAAAACCAAAATACAAATTACTGGATAGTAAGCGTTCATCATTCTCTCAGCAAGTTATTCTTTACAAAGAGAAAGTGGAAGAAATTTTAGGCTTTAAAAGAAAGCTCTTACTGAATAAATTTTGAACAGGGGACTGGTGGGTAATACTAGCTATTTTTGGTATATTATAACTGGGAAGGTATTATTATATGGTTTTTCATATACAACACATTAAATAATTTTTAATGCAATGAAAATACATATTACAATTCTGTCTTTTGCTACTCATTAACTTTTCCACCAAATTCACACTCTTAAATAGCAAAAGACTAAAATTCAAGGAAGTATATTAAAAAAAAATTCTTACATGCAATGGATAATGAATAGCACGGTCAAACCCAAACACCATGCATGGAGGTATTGCCATGGCAGAATTGGCATTGTGAAGTTCACATCCCATTCCAACACACAAAGGAAACAACAAGAAAAGAAAAGATAATGGTAAAAGAAGAGCCATCACATCAAGCCACTGTAAAACATCTCAAATGAGAACCTGGGCTACTCAGAATTAAGGAGTCCCAAAGCTTGGATAACAGATTTAAAAAAAATCTGGCATATTTTATAAAACATGCATTCAATTCATCTTGTGTTTACTTAGGATCTCAAAATATTTCATCAATTTTTATTTTGGGCATCCCAACAGACTTATGTTTCTCAATAATGCCAGATAGATCAAATGATTCCTCAAGATCCTACTGGAACTCTATGGTTAAGGTAGGAATAGAAATTTGTATGCCTATTGCAGTATCATAAGCATAACACCCTCTCCCCCTTCCCCCAGAGCCAGTTATATTCTTTCCTGAAGATGGTTTATTTCTCAGGGTTTGGACTCCATAACGTTCTTTGCCCAGGTTACCATTTTCCATTTTTTTTCAATGAAGAGACAAGCTCTGTGTTCTGTTTGCTCTTCTATTTACCTAATCAATCAAAACACACAACATAACTATATAAACTACAGAAACACTAAAATTACTGGCACAACTTAATAAAATGAAACAAAAGTACATCACTAGAACTAAAGCATGCAGACAAGCATGGCAAGAAATAGCAACAATGTGTTATTTTAGCTGATAAAATAGGAAAGAAAGAATGAACTGGTACAGCGAAATAAAAATAAATTCATTTAAATGCCAAGGTAAATCTATTACTTGAAAAGACTTTGGGAACATGTCTACCTTCTCACAGACTCTTAGACTATATGTCAAGCTTCTTTCTCCTAACTTCAAGTGGTTAATATCTAATTTTTACCTTGTTTCTTACAAGTGGTGAACATGTGATGTTAGATTCTTTTTATGTATGTGAAGCTAGCCCATGATCAGGATGAGTTTGGAACAATCTCGGCCCTTCTAAAGCCAAGGGGAATTTTGTCATTTCCTTGAATCAGATCGAATTTCATGCCATGCAGTTGATTAAATTAATTCTTTCTTTGCATAAACTGCTGGTTTTGCATTCTGACACCCTGAGGTAGATTCCCACACATGTTGGATATTGACATCTATACTGTAGTTGCTTCTTTATGTTGGTACCTATGTAGTTAAAACATTCTTTTTATTGTTTCAATATTTTCAATAAGTGTTTTGTTCTCAAGGTTTTTAACATAATTCAAAAAGAACTGCATGAGTGTCACTAACTTCTTTTTCCCTGTTTGATATGATGGCAGCTGGTCTGAGTGACAGATAAGCAGGGATCCAGGATTTCTGTTTGCCACAGAAAAGCACGGTAAAAAACAGATTTTCTCATTTTAAGGAGAAAAACCTAGATTTTCTCCTTTAAAGGAGAAAAATGAGGGAAATAGTGGGTTTCCCTTTGCAGGCTGTTGGAGTCCCAACCTGCAAGGGGCTGGGGAGAGCAAGAGAAGGGCGATCAGCAGGTGGTGTCACGTGCATGTGTACGCTCAGACATGCACATGGCCGCCAGGCAGCCTGGAGAGCAGCTCCCGGAGGTAAGTCTGGTGGGGCTGGGGGGGGGGGGGGGGGTTGGGGCCCCC